TCATTCTATCTTTAATTAGCTTCCAGCGAGATAAAATCCTGTATTTTGATTGGTTAGCTTAGAAAGACGTCGGTACACCTTATTTAGAATTCTTTACCTTGTTTCTTGTTTCTACTGGAATCCCTTCGCTTTCACCTTTTTTCATCCCTGCTTAATTATTAACAGCGTTTCGGGTGGAACTTCCAAACTCCTGGAAGTATTTTGTTTTACGAAACCTACCTAAACTACCGAGAAGAGGACTTCGTGTGCTCAATCCACTACAAGCGTTTTTGTGAAGATGAATCTCATAAAAAGAAAACGGGCGTTACCCTGCGTGTCTAAACATAAGCTATTTAACCGTTCGTCGGCGCCGAATCGAGAGTGTTCTTTCGGCTGTTAAGCTGCTCAGCCCATACTAATGGGCTGCACTTAGATCAATGCACAACAAGCGCATGCTTTGTTTTAACTTCTGTAGCATATTCTGATACTGGCTTACTGGGGGACTTCGTAGCCCAGCCTGCGTTGCCTCCTTCCCTCCCCTACCAAATTTACTTATTGTAATTCTTATAACATATTTTCGGACTATAAGGCGCACTTAAAAGCCTTTAATTGTTTCAAAAACGGCAGTGCGCCTTTAAATTATCTATTGATTCTGCTTACTGATCTCGAAGCGATTTTTTGAGGTACACGGCGCTGCGTTGATCCGTAGTCAGGATCGTAGCGAGTAATTCATACTGTGCTTCACCATACTATTGCTGTATGTGTGTGTGGTCTCCAAAATGGCACCTGTCAAGAGACACAACTGAACGACTGAGAGATTTTCAACTGAACAAGGTTGAAAGTTATTGTGAATACGTTGACATTTGACTTATCGGTATCACACTGTTTTTTTACGTGTTATAACTGACTGTTTTGCTTCCCTTACTGCGCCTCCTAGTCCCCTGCGTTTTATATGAGAAATTTTTTTCGAAAATAAACCCTTTATTGACAGCACGCCTATAGTGCGGAATATACGGTACTTTGGGCTCCTGCGAGGTTTATGGAGTTCACTACTTGTCATCATACACC